CTGTTATTTGGTTTTATTGCACTTACTATCTGGCTTTATTAAATTTGCAAAACAGTTTGTTTATCGTCACTCAGGGAAAATAGGTGGCTATAATTTGCAAATATATCAGTCAAAAATAGACTAGTTAGCTGTTCTTGGCTGGCACATTGTCAGTGCACACAATGAGTTCCTCCCTCCTCTCTCACACTTCTTTCTCTCTCACAAACATACGCACATACACACTCAAAAATGTCTCCAGTGGAGTAAAATATTCACATTAATACTGGAAGCGATGGAGAAGAACCCCGGCCAACATCCCATCTGTTCCCATGAATTAAATTTAGAAATCATATGTAATATAGACATTTCTGTCTGAATATCATAAAACCTTGACACATTCAGGCTTTCATTAAAAAGCTCTGAGATGTGACTTGAATAACAATCTGTCTTAGCTAATTAGTATTTTCAGTTTAGCATATTCACTTTCAGACGTATTGCTGTTTGCACATGGTAATTTAGGTAAACAGAGCCCATCCACAGCTGCATCAATTAACACTGCTAATCAAAACTGAATTCAGGTAATTAGGCACATTTATGCAAAAAGTGTGTAATTTGTGGGGAAAGCTAGATTCTTCAGTAATATTTCAATAAGTAGGAGTCTCCTTTTGCAAATAAGACAAGGAAATAATGGTAAATCAGCTCTAACATATAGATGATGTATACTCAGCGACAAATATCTAAATTAATCTCAGTAATTGGTCTGTATTTTCAGCAATTGGACTATATTTTTTCATATAAATGTTTGCCTCAACATTTCTGCATGGAAAAGTGGATTCAATTCCAACTAAAGGTTTAGTGATTGTTAAGAGAGGACTTTAAAAGTTAATGGTTCCTCAAGTAATTTTTGAACTGTTGAACATAAGGGTCCAGCTTGCTCTCATATCCAGTTAGGCAACTTTTAATAAAAATGCCCTCACTTCATTTTCAATTTAATTTCTTCAAAGAAGAAATATTTAGTTTATTTTAAAGAAAAGTTTCTAGAAATTTCTCTTGCCACAGATTTTAAGATTGTAAAATAGTAAATACTTCAAAAACATTCTGCTTTGACCTACAAAGTTTTATCACAATATAACTACAATTTCATATCTCTTCAATTTCCTTCCTTTTCCCTTCCTCTCACCACAAAATAAAATAATTAAAAACCTCTAAAACCTCCAAAAATGTCAAAGCTATATAAAAAGCTGTATATTTATAATCAGAATTTTAATTTGTATAGAAATTCAAAGAAGGAACGTTCATTGTAACATTGTGCTTCAAAAGTTTTCGTATGGAGCTATTCAAGTTATTCAAAATCAGTTCTCTGTTATGTACACTTCAAGAAAGTTACACAAGTTCGATGGACAAAAATTCCATTATCAGCTTATAGCTAATATTCCATAAACCGTATAACCGACAAAAATACTGCCTATGTAATTAAACAGAAGCAGGAATTTAACATGAATTTACCATTTTTGCCCACTTCCAGCTAATTTATTCTTTCCATTACAAATAAGACAAAGTAATTTTACTTCCAAAGTAGTATGATAAATTTAGTCAGATTAGTCAGCTTGCATCTTCTGTCCTGGTTTCATGGTGACTTTTGAGGTGAGGTATATAATACATTTTCATCATGTGTAAACATACAACATGGATTACATTTTTTTTAATAAAAACTTCAGTGCTAATTCTTTACAACATTAAAGTTTAACAGCATATAACTACTGAAATTGCACAGCATATTTTGTGGTCACACTACAGTGCATATATCACAATTTATAAAGTTTCCTCTATGTAGAAAAGTATAATTTGTTCTGTTATGAAAAATGCTTAGTATATACTGTAGATAAAACTCCCATTTAAATTAGCTATTGGCAGAGCAGGATGTTGACAGAATATTAACAGAGTTCAGAAGAAAAACAAAACTTGTGGAAGAAATATGATTTTGAAGTATTTTCTATTCAAATAGAAAATGACTGATATAGTTACATGTTAGAATGCTGAAAAATGTGATTTCTAAAAAAACCATCAGGTCATCCTAAAACTATATGCAATTCCCTATGTCATTCTGTCTGGGGCAATGGGAAATGATGTTATAACTTCACCTTTTTTTCCATTTCTCTATTTCAAGACAGATTCATGTGCACTTATGTGTCATACCACAGTCTAAACAGCTGTTCAATCTCCCATATAGCTTATTTACATTGACATATAGTGAATATTGCCAAGCAAATATCACAGTGAATGTGACCTGTTTCTGAAAGAACTTCCTCTGCTTGATAAATGGGCTTTTGAAAGAGCAAAACAGAAGGTGTAATGACTAACAGTGTTTATTTAGATATTATACTCTGTAGGAAGTGAGTACTGTGACAACACACTAGCCCCAGCCCCCATTCCATTAATATATTTTTTAACATAAAGTAATCAGATTTAGTAAATATTCTAATATTTTTTCTAGAAATATTTTATTATGTTGTCCTGTTTCTTCTGCCTAACAATATCAGTTAACATAAACATCTCTTCACTTATCACATATATAGTCTACATTATTACTTTATCATGAATTGTCCTGATGTACCACCATTTGAAAACTCTGTGTTATTATAGTATCATTGTTCCTTGTAATTTTTCTTTCGTGTTGATATTTCGTAAACATGTGGCAGTATTAGCTAATAATGTTGCATAAGGAGTATCTCAAAAAACACAGCATCATATGAAATTTGCCTGGTACAACAGTAATTTCTCAGACATGCAGCCCCACTCTTTATCCTCTCCTGTGCTGCTCAACTATAAAATATGGAAAAGAATGGAGATATATAACCACCCCAATTAAAAAATAAATAAATAGTTGGTTGCTAAATATCGTTAACTGAAATATGATGGATATATATGATTAGAAAGATCCCATGAAATACTGGTTTCCTCGATTTCTAGACAAAGTATACTCGAAGCACTCAAAAGTATTCCAGGATTATAAACAAAACTATATATATATATATGTATGTATGTATATGTATAGTATATGTATATAAAGTTCATATTTATTTTGTATATAGAGAATGCATCTTGTTATTCATAATAAAAACTATTGAAATGTTTCATATCCATAGAATTTATAGCATTAATCATGAATGTACAAAAATTGTGCTTTAAAGAAAGCAGAAGAGCCAGAAGTGAACAGTTAGTACTCTACACCTTACCAGAGGAAAAAAAAAAAAAAAAAAAGCTCAATAAATTACAAATGTTGAAGTGCTGAAGTTCCATAATTAAAAATCAGGCAGAGATCCTTTTGGCAAATGGATCTCTTTGTTAAACATCCTACTAATCCAAGCCTGAAGGTATAATTCAGTACCCTGGAGGATCCCCTCTATAATTCTGCCAGCTGTTCCATTTAGGTCACTCCACCACAAGTTTAACTTTTATCTATTCCTCACTTTCTTCACTGGGTCCCAGAAGCAGCAGTCCATCTCTCTGAAGGCTGTTTAAAGTGTAAATGAAAAGACTAGATAGAAGTGAGCCACTACCTCAGGGTCCTTATTTCTGAACTACAATTCCTTGGACTTCCCTACCTTGACAGATGCAATATGAAGTCTTCCTTGATGAAAATTGAGGAGGAAGACTGAATATGGAATGCAAATAGCACATTCGTTATAATTTTAACGCTTTGCAGCTGTTTTAAAGAATAGGAAATTTTACTAGACAGAATGTCCAGTCAAGGCCAAACAGTTGCAGCATTCCTTCTGCAAATCCCACCATTACTACTCTCAGAATTCCAGAAAAAGGATTCAAAGAGCCATTTTATCTTTTCTCAGATGATCAGAGAGAAGTGGACTTGGGGCAGGGAGGGGAGGGGGGTTGTAGTCTGATCCAGTACACTTTGTGACAAGGACCACAAAACCCCTTGGTGCAGATCTGATCCACTTGCCTCCCTCCCTATACTGGCAGGCAAAGGAAGGAGGCAGCTATGCTTCAAGTCTTCTTTATGCAACTCAACCTCAGGTAATTAATCTGCTTCAAATTTACTGCTATTTTGGTGCAAGGCTTTTAACCAGATGCATCATTGCTCACCAAAAGCAACAGAAAGATGTGAATTTAAAACAGATCCAATTATAAGGGTTCTAGTTAGTGTAAATTTAAGTACTCCGAGTCACCACAATCCTCGAGAACTGCTTTTAGACAGTATGCTGTTTTATAATAACACACTGATACCTTACTCTGGGAAAATAAATGAGATTCATTACAAAACAAACCACGGTCCTAATATTATTTTTTTTGTCAAAAACAAACAAACAAAAAAAGTAAATATTCTGGGAGGAATTTTGAAAACTCAACTTTTACGAAAGACCCATTAGAAGAATACAGTGAATGTATCACTCAGGTCTTTAAAATATATCGTTATTTAATAAAGTGCGCACTTTCAGTTACCAAATGTACTGTGAAACAAAGTTACACAATCTATTAGAAATTAACTCAAAGACATTTTCAAGGACTGCTTAGCAGCGTAGCCACAGCGACTCTCATGATCATCTGCATGAATTGACACCTAGAAGTAACCCCCAGAGGCTTTAGTCATCTACTAAGATCATGGCCTAATCCTACCTGCACTGGCTCTGACCTAAGAAAGTGTGCACATGTGGTCTGAAGGATTGGGACCAACGTGTTCAAGTGGTGCAACCATTCCTATACCTGCACTTGAGCTGCTCTCTAGTAACTGCTATTAGTCAAAAAGTGTGCTTCCATAAGCTTCTAAAGCTGACTTTTAAGGGCCAGGGGGAAAGAAATAAAAATAAAAAAAATCAACACGTGCATCTCTGCATCTAATTCCAGCATGGCTCTCACAGGTAAGCACCCAACTCCTGCAAGCTGCCTTGTGAGTCGCAGCAGGACCCCTCACCTGTGTTACACTGTCCGCTCATGTGTGCTACAGCCAGCTCAAGTTCAAAACCAGAAGACAAAGCATCCTGGTATTGCTTTCTACCACTTACCTTGCTGATGCGGTTCCATGTGCTTCTGCTGACATGCCTGCATGCGAGGGCTTGTCTCAGGCAGCTGCTCCCAGGTTTGGCATTCCCGCAGCATGGCTGCTCCAACAGTGATGAGAAGAGCGGAGGCAGTATGTCACTGGCCAGCTCCAGCAGAGCCCAGTCACGCCGTCTGCAAGCACAGCTCACTGAGTGCAAAAGGAAAATTAAAACATTTTTTTCCCCTTACACTTGAATGACACAGCATACTGTTCTGTGTTTGCATTTAAATTGGACAGAATAATTTACCACCAGCTTTTAATTTCAAAAGGGTTAATCACCTCAGCAAAGGTCAATCAAACTTTAATCTCCAATAAAATTGCAGCAGCTTCAGTCACCTGCAGGACATTTATTATATTCTTATTTCCATGCAAAAGAATGCACCGCTAATCTTCTAACTCTTTACATTAGCACATTTGCCATTAACATTTTACTAAAATTATTAATTCCTCTGAAACTATTACAAGAGCTCATTTCTACACATCTTAGAAGATAATCCTGTTAAAAAGCAGCCACATCTACTGTGACATTGCTTTAGTTGTCTGCTCTAATCCTCACAACCATTTGATACTCCAACTGAGTTCCAACAATGCACAAAGTCTCAATTACACAAAATATTACAGGGTTTACTTTAGAACAACAATATACTGTTTTAGTAACTTAATCTTCCCTATTGTCTGCAATTACAATACTAATCTATTTTGCCACTGTTCACAGCATTTTCCATTCAAAATAAAATATTGATTTTTAATTTTGTTTAGTAGATCTTGAAAAGCAGTAGATTTACAAGGCTAAGATAGAACCTGGATTCTATTACTGACGATAGGAATAATCGCAATGATAGAAATATTTTCATGGCCTGCAAAAACAGTATTTTTCTCTCAAAACAGAAGTATCTTTTGAGATACAGCCCATTATGAAAGAAAGAAAGAAAGAAAGAAAGAAAGAAAGAAAGAAAGAAAGAAAGAAAGAAAGAAAGAAAGAAAGAAAGAAAGAAAGAAAGAAAGAAAGAAAGAAAGAAAGAAAGAAAGAAAGAAAGAAAGAAAGAAAGATTGATTTCTGGTCTACTAGTTGAAAATAATTTATCTGAAATTAAATTAAATGAGAATTGAAAAACCTTTCTCAAAAATAAAAGCCAGGATTAGTTTGAAATTACTGTGGCATTAACTGTGGCTCAAAGGTATATAATTGTTTAACTCTAAACAGAAAATTGTGAAATAGAAAAGAGTACATCCCCCAAATAAGTTGTTTTTAAATACAGCTACGTTAGCTATACAGCAAAGCATTCCTTCAAGCGTCTACCGTAACAATTTCATCTGAATTCTCAAAACTATTTTACCTGTAAAGACACAAAGAACAAGAGAAAACTCAGGGAGATCTCATTACAGAACTGAACCATAATACAAAGAATTCATCTCCCAAATTTTAGAATCTAGTACCAAAAAGTCATCGTTAGTAAGGGAAAACAAAAAAACAAACAAACAAAAACGAACAGCCTGATAATACCAAAAAAAATGGTTCTTGCTTATTTTCTCACTATGGCCATATTAATTCCTTTGAGAAAGAGAACGAACCGTCATATGTTATCTCATTTCTATTTAAAATGGATTTTTTAGCCATAATAACATTTTGACATACCGTAATGTAAATAAACTGTTCTTTCCCATCCCAATATTTCCTTCTCTGTCTCTCTGTCTCTCTCAGTCTCCGTCTCTCTCCTCTTTTTGTTTTAATATATGGCACACAGACAGACACACGCCCCCGTCACTGTCAATATGCACACTCATTAGCAATATGTCAGGCTGGCATTTTCAACACATACTCCAGAGCATAACTGAACTACCACGCAGAGCACACACACACATACACGTAAAAATACAACCGCAGAGAAGAGCTCATTTTTAACTTGGAAAACTACATAAACGTGCAAAAGGAATAAGTGGCATTCTCAGGCAATATTTTATGAAAGTGCTGTGAAGTGGCCCTCCAGCTGACGGAACTGATGCTGTTCTCATTTCAAACACACAGAAATATGTATATACAAATGCACGTTTTAACAGGACATTTTAACACCGAATTACAAATGCAAGAATACATAGTTTTTCTGGTTTTCTTCTCTTTGAAAATGCATTCTAACTTAAAGAAATTAATAAAATGAAATATTACGAAATATAAACCTGAACTGAACTAAGAGTTCCTAGAATATAGACTGTCAACAGCATTTTTTATTCCTATAACGAAGAAAATTAACTACGAAAACAATCACATCCATATTTTTTGCAATAAGCATCTGGCAATATAGTGAAGAACACCTAGAAATGGTGAGTAGTATTTAACTACAGTTTTGATTATGTACCTTTTGATTCACTGATAAAACATTCTAAATTGCCATTGCTACTGCTTTAAAATACAACTGAATAGCTTCACGTGGCACCCTGAAATGAAAGGTATCATCAAAGGACCATTTACTTCATTTTTCAAAAGACTAGACACAGGAGAAATGTATGGGGAAAGGAACATACCTTTAGTTATCCCAGCGAACGACTTCTCTGCACATCTACATAGTCCTGCGGCTCCACCAGTACAAAAGTCAACACTGCAGTGCTTGTGATCTCTGTGACAATGGCATCATACTGCCGGCAATTTTTTCGATTAAACTTCTCAGACATGGTAGCAACTTTGTTAATTATGATATTAGCCAGCTGGCGGGTACAATCAATCATCCACTGTAAGAAAGCCAGACAAAGAGACATCTAATCATTGCAACCAGAGCAGATAAATTTTGTTCCTTTCTTATACGTGTCACAGATTCTATCCCTCCTGACCCTCTACACAGCCATCGACTGTCAAATTTAGATTCAGCAAGCTCCCAGCTTTTCTTTATCCCTGCCTTAGATCTGAAACTCCTGGTTATCAGGAAGACAAGCGTCACCAGCTGTCTCAGAGCAGGAAGGCAATCAGGTGAATAGTACTTATTATCTCTCATTGCCTTCTGAGGAGCGACAAGATTGATTTTGGACCAACAACACATCCAGATCTCAGGCGCAGCTACTGCAGCTACCAGTCCAGAATGTGGTGCATATGTAAAGCTGACCCCAATCTTTATTAATACTGCATACTAAAAGTTTGAGGGTTGGTTGCTTTTTTGTTTCTTTGAGATTTGATTTTTATCCCTACTCTTTTTTTTTTTTTTTTTTTTTTTTTTACAGCTGCACTATTCCCTTATTCCAGGCCTCCTTTCCCTCCAACTCCAAAAAATAAAAATTAAAATTAAAAAAAATATTTAAAAAGGCAAGCTGACTATACCAGTACTCAGGGGACTGTGTTTCACAGTTGGATAGTCTTAATTGGGCCCACAGAAGCAGTTAGCTACCATTAAAGGCTTCTCTGTATACATCTTCCTCTCAACTAGTCTGATAGTCTATAAATCGCAACTAGCAAAGCCTATGCTTTGAGAAGTTTAAAAATGCAAATGCATTATAAGCCCCAAATATAAAAGAATTCTAACAAAATATGAACTGATAGCAACGTTTCAGCAGTGCTCTAGAAAACAATGCTTGGCTTTTTCCTTTACTGCAGCATTGGACAATCTGGCGTTCCTGCTGTAAGAATTTTTTTTCATAAACCAAATGCGCTGCAAAGTACTGGAAGGTAATTCGTATGAAGCAGAAACAAAGGTTGCAGTAGGATAAATGCCATCACAATAACAAATTCCAGTACAAAACAAAACCACCAATTTGGTACATTTTGAAATGCCTGCTAACAATTGCATTTAACTAATTAGAGCTAAGTGCATTAGTCAACTAATACTAATTTATAAGGACTTACAAACAGTTTTATGCCAGCTTCTGGATTCATGGTACACTGGCTGCTGTGGTACTTGGACCAAAGATCATTTTCCCAAAACTATATATATTTTCATACAATGTGATCTTATGTTTACTTCACTTTAATTTAAGGCTGGTTTTATATTAACAGTGGTACCTAGTAATACTGTGCATACTCGTATGTACTGTCTTAATGTCAAACAAGACGACACTCTGGATTTTGCAGCATAAAAATATCACTGTCCTTAACAAATCATTTGAAAACAATACTTTTTTTTTTTTTTTTTTTTTGAAAGTTGTCCCATGCTATTCAGATACATTTTTCACACTTTCTTGGAAACCAAACAGAAAATAGCAACAGTTAGAAAACAGCAGCTTGTGGGAGTATCAATTATTCCCTGACTGCACTCCTTGAAATTACAGTGTTGCCAGAACCTGCTTTACCTTTCAGAAGTCAGATTTTCCTTTTATAACTGCTGTCTCATTTAGAAAGCATATGACATCAGATATGGGAATCATAAAGATATTCTTCATTGGTCAAAACACAACTAATTGCTTTCTGCTATGCGTTGAAAATGATGAGGACAGGAAAATAAATTATATCTTCAAATGTAATGTCATCACTCCGGTCATTTTGGGTGACTGATTCACCAGTATCTCAGGCAAATATTGAAGAGTGCACCAGTTCTGTGCCACTACCTATACCTGAATTGTTAACAAGTTGGGATCTGGCTAAGTATATCCCCACCATAGTGTTACCAATGCAATGGTAGACAGGTTGTTAGAAAGCTCAGCCCTAGCCCAAATAAAATGACTCATTCACTTTGTTAAAATATTTACAACTGAGAGGGTTTTACTCAGAAGTTAAGGAAGCCCTTTGTACATTATTCCTTCTCATTTCTATTGCTATACTCAATATCTTGCTTTTATAGACAGCTTTTAAATATGAAATAGTTGTCTTGATCCTGACATAGAGCATTAGGCAAGAGGAAATAATTGGATGTAGCAAAAGGAGGAGCGACTTGCCAAAGACACAAGAATGGAAGGCTGCAGTAACAGATTCATTTTTCCAAAAGGTGAACCAAATCATCAGACACATAAGCCTCAGACACAGTAGTATCTCCAGTCAGCCACCCGCACAGACATGACCAGGTTTCTAAGCTGCCAGAGCAGATCTGAGCTGGTGGAACTGGGAAACGAATAGGATGGTCTCTGACAGGTCCAAATTGAAAGTTATTTAAGAGCATCGTGAAAGAATGATAAAGTCTGGTGCCCTAGCAGCACTTACGTTTGTCCATTTTCAATAAATATGTCAGGCTTTTCTCATACTTTTTTTTTTTTCCCCTTCCTTACTGAAAAGTTCACTGTGAAAAAATACAGAATAAGTCTATTAGTCTCACCTACTCCCAGTCTGTTAGAAACAAGGCAACTAGGCTGGACATCTGTGCTCTTCTCTGTTACCGCTAGGATCAGGGAGAGCCTGACAGGGATCTGTTGAGTATGAGACACAATACAATCTCCATACCTACGCTTCAGTGGAATGCTCTGTTGGCTACAATGGAGGCTACAAAACTGGTCTGAACCCCATTCATATTAGCCCTACTTTGAGCAGGAGCTTGGACTAGCTGACTTCCTAAGGTCTATTCCAACCTGAATTATTCTATTCGCCTATGAACTGGCTAAGACAAAAGCAACTTAGTTGACAAAAGTTACGAGAGATGCACCCAGTTACATGAATTACATGTCTAATTCTTTCAAGAGGTCAGGCTTTTTTTTTTCATTCTCTCAATTGAAACAGATAAAAATTACCACATCATCCAACAACGAGAGGTTCAGAGAAAACAAAACATCTAAAAGGGAAAACACAAAGAAGAAAGTACAGAAAGACCTTAGTGGAGGTAACTGGACAACATAGTTGATATAGGAGGAGAAAAGGAAGGCAAGAAGTAAAGCAAAAGTAAACTTAGCTTCAAGTAAAAGAAAATTTTCCTTAGCAGAGAGGGAGATACAGGAAAGGATAGGTCTGTTAACCTTAAATGTGTACGAGTTAAAAAATAAATAAATAAAAATATCAAAGCTATTCCCACAATAATGTTGGTCCAGGTTCAGAGAAGTTTATTTTGGTAAATACAAAATTATCCCTGGGTTCCCACACCATTTGCTGCACTCACGTAACAGAGAAGATTTCCACAGATAATAATAAAAAAAATAATAAAATAAATAAAAACATAGATTAGGATATATGATCAAAAGAAAAAAAAAAGAATATTCTAAAAAGAATATTCTAAAATATTTTGATCAATAGTCATAATTGAAGTGCACAATCCCAGATGGACATAAATCCATTTACTGTTACGTTTACCTTAAAAATGCCAGCCTAATAAACTTTTCATTTGTACTCTAAATCCTCTAAATACTGAATCTTCTATTCAGCACTTCATTATATAAATAAATAAATAAAAATAAGCAATAATACATGTAAATTATAGCTTTAAAAATGGGGACAGTGTAATGAAGGGGATACACTTTGTAATCAAGTAGGCTTTTAAATTAACTTTTAATGTTCAGTGGCTACCAATTAATGAGGAACCTACCCCTATGCCTACTACAACACACAAACTAGGATCAAGCACAAGGACACAAAGCCAATACAGGTCAATGCACAGAATGCTGATCAACAGATTTAGGGGAACACATGGCAGAGCAAGGGTCTGAGAAGCAATGTCCCCTTGCAATGAACCTCTTCCTTAAATCAGGAGCTCTAGATGCTTGATGATGCACCAGCCCACTAACACACTGAATGATTCCTCCTTATTCTAGGAAAGAACATACGTAGCTACAGACAGAGAGCTTATGGTATAGTTTCTCATTTTGGCATGTCATAAGCATCAAAAATAGTCACGGATTTATTTTACTTTATTTTTAGCAGTACAAATCAAGAGTCACCCTGCATCATAAACTGCACATATATTTCATTGAACGGAATGAAACCATGAAGTTTCACAGTGCTGAACAATGTCTGCAAAGGTCATATATAGCTTCTCCTGAGGGAAGCTCCATGAGGCAGATGCAAAGAGGCCACATGTTGTGTCAATTCTGAGAACAGAATGAATAGAAGTGAAATATTAACATGTTGTAAGAAAAATGACCTTGCTTACATTTTAGGAACGAACCAAGGAAGAAGAATTTTTCCACCTCCGTCGTTAGATCAACAGGTTCAGCTTTCTCCTGTTATAACATTGTCAGTACATGTGAACTAACTTTTGTTCTATTCCTCTATGACTTGCTCCTAGGAAGCCTGAAACTATGATCCTTTTTATTGCTGGACACTCCCTTTTTCTTGCACCAATATTCTGTTACACAAGCTTGTAATCACATGTACATATATTTAAAATGCCTGGTAAGAATATTTATATATATACACTGGCTCAGATATCAGCATCCTGCCTTTGACAACATTCAGTAGTAAGGGTCCAGGAAAAAATATAAGGGAAAACACAGGGCAATTTTTCCCCAAAACCTCTGGCCATCTGTGGTGAGGAAGTTTGTACTCAGAACGTCAGGATGTCTTAATGCAGCACATTAGGCAAAATTTCAGTAAAGTTCTCCTGTCACATAGAACGACAAAAAGTCAGCACGAGGAATGCAGTTAAATAACTGTCAACATAGGTGTAAAACAGAAAAGCTCGTTGTGAATAAGAAACCAAGAGTGAAAGGAAGTCTACAAAAACAATTCTAACTTAGTGAACAACAACAAAATAAAAAGAGAGCAAGTCACTCATTCACATTCAGAATGCCAATGCTGCACAATTCTGAGTGAGAGCTTTCTTCGTATCACTCCGTAAAATGAGACAATAAAATCTTGCATTGTCTTAGTGGAAAGATTTTTTCATATATAA